TATATTTTGGATTGCATCGCTGTCCCTGGGAACCAGCAGCAGCTGCCTTCTCACCAGGGAGCATTTTGGTGGAACCGTTTGGGCTACTGTTAAAGCAGATGCTGGTGCGCTGCTGGGAAATAGAACCAAGTTCCTTCTTAAAATGCCAGGGACACCTGCTGAAGTACCCAAGCCCCAGAACACTGAGAGGAAAGGAGTCCTCAAGAACCACCCAGGCATTAAAGACTCTCCTGTCTGGGTGGGCAGACACTTCCCTCCACAAACAGTAATTGCCTTTGGGTTTAAAAAGCAGCCACTTGTCAGGGGAGGAATTCTCCTCCAAAGCCCAAAGAGGCATGCTGACCCAGAGGAGCTGCGTCTCCTAGTTGTCAGGCCAGTTGAGAAACGTTTTCTGCAGACTCTGGCGAACATCCCTTACCTAAATCCAAACTTATCCATTGCAACAGAAATGTGCCGCGGCTGTGGAAAACACCTATAGGTGTTGTGGTCATCCATGGGAATGAGGTCCACGTCACTAAACACGAAGCAGTTGTAGTCATAGTCCTTCAAAGACTCCTGAAAGCCAACGTTGAGGAGCTTAGCACGATTGAACATGACGTCTCCTGCCTGGCGCAGAAACAAAAGAAGTGGTATCAGGTGCCATAAGAACCTCAGAGCTGAAGGAAGGGACTGGAGACATGTCCACCACATGTGGTCATTAGTGCGCGCTTGGGCCTCATTTTGCTGCCCTCACTTTGCAAGTGAATACCAAGTGGTTGGCCCCGAGTCAGCAATCCCACTTCTAGGAATTTTCCTGCAGGACTTACAAATGTGTTAATAACATACGAACAGTGTTGTTCACCGTGGGGTGTTCCTCAAAGCAAACAATGACATAAGGATCACTAGGGAACTGGTTAAATAAATCATGGTACATGCATATAGTAGAAGAGAGTTGTTTTTAAAATAAGGAAGCTCTAAAAGGAAATGATTGTCAAGATAGCATTGTTAGGTGAAAGGACATTTAAAAAAACATGTTATTTTTATATACTACATGTAGACTGATTTCAGGAAAGAGATTCAGGAAACTAGTGCCAATGGGACTTTACAATTCTCCCCTCTTTATAGGGCTGTCTATGGCTGATTATCACATACTGTGTGCCTACCAGATGTCTCTCACCAAATGAGGCACCAGAGAAATATGGAGAACCCAACTCAATGGGGGCTGTCCCCTCATGCTGCCCACTGCAGAGGGGAAAGCTGCATGATACATGCCATGATAGATACACAGTGATGACAGGGAGGACCATACCGCTTCATGCTGTCCACCAGTGGGTCCCGAACCCCCAGGCCTGTTGGTGCAAAGGTACTTCACATTTTATTTATTTATCTTACTTGTTTCCAGTCTCCTCCAATAAACTGTAAGCTCAATGAAGGCCAGAATTTTTACTCTTTATTCACCCAGTGCCTTAACACTGCCTGGCATAGAGTAAGAGCTCAATAAATAATGGACTGTTGGATGGATGGACAGATGGGTGGATAGATGGATGGATGGACAGACTAATGAATGAATTTCAACATACAATGGTAGAGGGACACCTTTTCTTGGATGTTCTAACCAATTCCCCATCCCCCAACCTCAAGGTCATGCATCTCTGCTCTTACCAACCATGGCCCCAAGTTAGTAAGGACGTAGCAGTTCACAGGCCCTTACATACACAAGCTCTCAAGCCAGCCGAAATCCTCACCAATGAAGAAACTAAGTCAGGGGAGGGACAGGCTTGGGGCGGCAGCCTAGCACTCTGGAGATGTCAGTTAATGCCCAGCATGAGGGCCCTTTAACTTTGGGGTGAAATGTACCTGAAAAGCACCAGCAATTCCTACCCAATCTCAAAAGTGGGATGCCCAGCATCCTCGCTCCATACCCCCAACAGTGGGCTTAGAAACACACTTCAGGAGGCTACCTGTGTGAGTAGAGAGAACAAGCACAAGAGACTCACAGCCGCCCAGCCTCAGGTGAGTGACTCAGGAAAACAAAGCAGGAAAGGAAGATGAGTGCCAGAAAGTCAGACAGAGCAGCCAGAGAACACTCAATCACTTTAGGAAACATTTACACAAAAGCTCCTTTCTTGAGCCCATAACAAAGCTTTCTATCCATGCATGGTGGCTGTTCTACCAGTCAAGAGTCACTTCAAATGCTGCCTTCATGCTACTTCTGCGTTAAGTCATGAGGCATATGAGAACTATGAAGCTGCTGGCATTGTAAGCGTAACAGTACATTACCAACATTCACTGGGTGGACGTGACATGCCGGGCGCAGGATTAAGTGCTTTACATGCACGGCAGGTCATTCAAACACCTCAACAATCTTGTAATGACCTTCGCCCCAACCCAGATCTGTTTCACAGCCTCTACCTTTCAGTGATGGGGAGACAGACTCACGCCTGGTGCTTTCCATTTTGCTCCGTCAGCCCCAGGAAGATCCCAAAAGCATTACTTTTGTCTGAGTATTTCAATTTTTTTTTTTTTTTTATATAGAGGCATGTTATTTATTTATTTATTGTTTGTTTGTTTGTTTTGTTTATACAAGCACTGGGTACAGTCAGAAGCGAGGGAGGGTGAGAGAATTCACCAGAGCCAGAGCGGGGAGCAGAGCAGGCAGAAGGACCGAAGTACACTGCTGAGGGGAGCAGCGGGCGGCAGGAGAGGTCTGCGCACCATGCGGGATCCTCCTCCGGTGGCCGGGGAGCAGCCGGGGATTGAACCGGCGTCGCAGAGGCCGCAGGCAGCTTCGCAACCCAGCGCTCAACCACTGCGCCACCAGGGAGGCCCTGTCTGAGTATTTCAAACACAATTCAGCCCCATTGATAACTTTTCTAACAAGTGAAGGGTAGTGTCTCATCAAAGCCTTTCAAGCTTGTGTGAAAAGATGGGTGCTTACCCAGTGCTGTTCCTCAGTAACAGGGACAGGGTTCTTGGTGGCTATGCCTGAACCAGAGGACCTGGCCTCCAGGCCACAACTGTTTGACCTTAGCAGACTAAGGCTACACTCAGCAATTTTCTTCTCCCAGGAAATGGAAATTTGGAACCATGAATGGGCACCTCCAGAGACAAACTCCAAGAACCATGGAAGAGAAACCTGATTCAACCTCCTTGCCATGTGTGATGCAACAGCTCCTCAGTAACAACAAAATAAGGCTCTCTCTTGGGTGGCTCACACTTGGAACTAGTTAGGCAGTTTCCCAAAATAACCTGAACTACCTCTCACTCCATCTTTCCTCCTAGCCTGGCCACACGTGTGTCCCTGGGGGATATGACAGGCAGGGTACATTTTTGCAGGTGTTACTACCTACTATAGCCTACTAGGAACTCGGGGTCAGGAAAATGGTAGATAAGAAAAGTGAATGTCTTCCTCTTCCTCCCCTGGGATTATAGAAAAGTCAATTCTAGGCTTCTCTGGGTAAAATGCTCTAACACCTTGGATGACTTCCTTTGATAAGACAGATAGGTCCTTGCTAGTCCTCCATCCCCCACTGTTAACAAGAGGTGCTCATTCCTTGAAGGGAGGGGGAAGACACCAGGCCACATTCCTGGTCCTGTTCACTGGGCACCTTCATCCAGTGCATCTTCTGCTTCATTCACTGAGCACTTACTGTCTGGCCCAGACAAATACAGCTGTGACAGACACAAGCAGTGGCCTTTTACCCCGGAAATGATAACTTCTTCATTTATTAGCTATGTGACTTTGGGCAAGTCATACCTCTAGGCCTTAGTTTCCTCATTTGGTCATGGGGATGACAACAGTAGGTTGCATTACGTCAGACAACGCATGAAAAGGCCTCAGCACACTACCCAGCGCAAATACTGGCCACTGTTATAGGATTGGTCTTTCCATCCATCTTGCAGCAGACAGGCCTTTTGAAATATCTCCCAGAGATCCAACCTGGAGATACATTCCTCCCAATTTCTGCTTCTCTGATGGAGGAGGTATTTCTAAAAAGGATTAAGACTCAAGTGAGCTTGCCTGTAGCACACAGCATTAAAGTCTCTGTAGCAGCAGCGAAACAAGAAAAAGAAAAATACCGGATGGTCTCACTCATAGCAGGAATCTAGAAAACTTAAATAAGGGACCAGGAAAATGAATAACTATAAGAAAGTGAAAATCAAAATCAACAAAAAACTATGAACCAGAGACACTTTTGGGGGGCGGGGGCGGGAGGGAAGGATTGGGGTCAGAATGGGGCGTTTGCAATTGTATGGGAAAATTAAAAATAAAATTTATTATTAAAAAAAATAAATAAAGTCTCTGTAGCAGCAGGAGAAAACCAGATAGCCCTTTAGAGACATATGAAGTGGCCAGTAAGTCACACTTGGAAAGGGAAGCTACACACTGGGAACAGGCGTCCCACTGAAAGCTTTTTAAGTGCAGGCTTCACAGATAGTCCAAGTTATATTTATCCTTTCCTTCTAAAGCAACTGGTTCCTCTTGCCTGAGGAAAGGACTGGAACAAAAAAAGGACAAAAACTATATGACAATCCACAGCTGGCCAGGGCAGCTGTCCTGTTGGCCAAAGGTAACAGAAAAGCTTTTTCTGACTGGGCATATAATTTTGACGATGGGCAGGTCAGTCAAGCAGAGCCAACAATGACCAGTCCAGAGAGAAGAGGAGCCTGCGCTAGATCAGTCAGGCATGTCAGCCTGGGGCAGAGTGAGGAGATTTGAGGTAGGTGGCACAGGCATGATGGTCAAGCTCCTCAGAGGAGAGAAAAGGAAGACGTGACCATCATACACTTTATGCAGGAAACCCAGTGTCCTTCTGGTAAATTTGAGTAGCAGAGAGGAATGTTTTAAGTATCAGATAGCTCTCCAGGGCTGTTAAAATCTTTTTCTAGAGCTCACAGTTACGCTAAAGAGAGGAGACAGCAATAGTATTGTCCACTGAAAATGGAATTCTTTGACATTTCTGTTCAGAATGTAAAATGGTGCAGTTATCTTGGAAAACGGATAAACAAAGTATTGCCATATGACCCAGGAATTCTACTCCTAGGTATATACCGAAGAGAAATGAAAACATGTCTACACAAAAACTTTTATATTATCTATGCATGACAATGTTTTTCATAATCGCTAAAAAGCAGAAAGAACCTAATTGTCCATTTACTAGTAAATGGATAAATAAAATGTGTCGTAACTATCAATGAAATCTTATTCAGCAATAAAAAGGAATAAGTACAGATACATGCAACAACATGGATGCACCTTGCAAGCATTACACTAAGTGAGAGAACTGCAGTAACACAGGGTCATCTATTGTATGATTCCATTTAGGTGAAATGTCCAGCATAGATATCTCCTCAGAGACAAAAAGATTGGCAGTTGCCGAGGGCTGAGGGGACAAAGATGTGGGGCTTCTTTTTGGCATAATAAAAAGGTTCTAAAGTTGATTTTGTGGTGCTAAGATATATAACTCTTGAGTATACTAAAAGTCACTGAATAATATACTTTTAATAGGTGAACTCTATGCTATGTGATTATGTCTCACTATCGTGGTTACTGAAAAAATAGAACAACGAGCCAGTCCCAGAGAGAGGAAAAGGCCAGAGGATCTGTTCTACCCTTCCTCATACAT